TGTATTCAGGGGAATCTAGAAAAGATCAGAGAAGTACTTCAGCTTTCACCTCTGCCAGACTTCTGGGCTCTGGGCAAGCAGGAAGTGAAGGCTAGGGTAGAACTCTAAATGGCCTGGCGAGGGCCGGCTGGGTGCCTTAGTCGGTGAAGCGTCTGATTCTTGGTTTTGGTTCAGATCATGATCTCATGGTTCATGAGTTTAAGCCCTACATTGAGCTCCGTGCTGACAGAGTGGAGTCTGCTTGAGATTCTCTCTCTTTCTCCCTCTGTCTCTGCCCCTCCCCCTGCACTCTCTAGAGTCTCTCTCTCTCCAAATAAATAAATTAAAAAAAAAAAAATTAAATGGCCTGGCTAAGCCTCCACGGAGTACCTCAACATACAGCCAACCTGCAAAGACTGGGATAGATTTTTTTTCTTTTTGTTTCTGATGTTTAAGGAAACCTCTGTCAAATTACCAGTTGGCCACTAGGCTAATGGAACAGAGACCTCAGTGGGCACTCCATACAAAAAAAACAACACAATATTGACAAAGTAGTTTAGAAAAGTCACTAAACAAGCAACAACAACAAATTCTGGGGAGGGGAGACAATTTGATTTCTAGAGTTACCACACTGTAATATTCAAGATATCTAGTTATGAACAAAAAATTTACTAGGCATGCAAAGAAATAAGAAAGTATAGCTCAAGGGGACTAAGAGTACACTTACCATGACAAGCACTGAGTAATATATGGAAAGTTGAATCACTATTGTGCCCCTGAAACTAACATGACACTGTATGCTAACTATACTGGAATTAAAATGAGAAAAAAAAAAAAAAAGGTAAGTATAGCCCATTCACATGAAAACAAGAGATTAACAGAAACTATTCCTGAGGAAGCCCAGACACTAGACTTACTAGACAAAACTTTAGATCAACTGTCTCCCTATCTGACCTGGTCCCTAAGTCTCCTGTCTCACCTAGTACCAGGTTATGTTTTGCTCACTGTCACCAGTCACACTGGCCATCTTGTTCTTTCAAACCATCAAGCAGGTTCCCGTCTTAGGCCTTTAAACATGCTATGTATTCCCTCTGGAATGTTCTTCTCCTACTTCATTGCACAGCTCACTCTGCATATTCTGGTCTCTGTTCATATTCTACCTCCTCAGAAGTACTTTTCCTGATCACCTTACCTAAAGGTGACCTTACCTAAAGCCTTACGTTTACTTAAAGGCAAAGCCCTTTACCTAAAGCCACACCCTCCCTATCAATTTCTGTTCCCCTTCATGGTTCACATCACATTCTCTGAAATTATTTTCATTGGTTATTTATTTACTTGCTTGTTGTCTCCCTCACTAGAATGTAAGCTTCTTGACAGTAGGTACTTTTTACTGCAGATCACCCACCCTAGAAGAGGGAGCCAGAGCAGGACTATGTAAGTATTAAATGAATAAATGAAAACAAGTTATATAAGTTGAACGAAAAGTAAAAACAAGAGAAGCTTATATAATTCCTACGAAAACTCTCTTCAGCTCAGAAATCTTGCCTACCAGTTGTTTAGTGAATCTGCTACAGAAAGTCTGTCCACCGACAAGGCCTCAAATGAGGTCAGTGGCGGAGGTGTCCTTAAGATTTTAAAGTAATCCTATTTGGGGCAGCGGTGGAATGGATAACATACAAGTGCTGCTTAGTATTGCCTTGAGGAAAGAATAAAGGGAAAACAGACTGACTAGTCTTTGTCTCCTCTTGTTCTGCAACTTTGGACTCAATGCCCAGAGAAGAGAGCTCTCTCTGATTCTGGCAAAGTTTTAAAATTACCTGAAAGAAAAAATTATTCTGAAGAATGACGTTTATGAGCGGCTATAGGGGTCACCCCATTTAGTATTAAACTATTTTCATTCTGAATGAAAATCTTTCTAGAACCTATTCTACACATCCACTTTTTCAACATATCAGCCCCTTTCTTTTCTACCAAAAGCCACTCTAATGTACACGGTAACATTTTCTGAGGCAATAGGGCATGGTGATGAAGAAGACTGAAGTCAAAGTGCTTCGGATTGAAAGCCTGGCTTTGCCCCTCACCGGCGGACCAAATGGACACTCTGGGCCTCAGCTTCTTCATCGAGAAATAGGGATAACACTAGTCCCTGCCTCGGCAGGTTACGCCTTGTAAGGACCAAGCGGATTGCCACACATAATGCGTTTAGCACACTGCCTGGTACAGAGTCCTGCCTGCAAAACGTTAGCTGCCGCCGCCCTGACTATTATTACGCCGTCATGGCTATTATTACGGCCATTTGTTTTTTGGTGTCTCAAGTGCCTAATAAAAGTCTTAAATTATTATAGTACATACTATAACTACGTACATACACGTGCCCCGTAACTCTTTAAAAAGTCACAGGGTTACTGGCTTTTACATAAAATGGTCCCCGGCAGATTTTCTGGAGCGCTCTTATGTGCTGGTTATTATAGTTCTTCTGTTTTCCTTTGCGAAGCCTCTGATGGCCGTTCTGCTGTTGTTAGTCATTTTTCCCATCTGTGTCGGCCTCTTTCTATGCTTCCGCTTTTGTAGGGGGGCATAAACACCAGTAAACCAAGCTTGTTAGGCATGTGTGTTAAGTAAAAGCTCTCCTAGGCATGGAGAGAGCAGGAATTTGACTCCGTGGACACCTCTTTTGGCTCTTCAGAGGTATTTTCCCCCTGGTTTCCTGATTCTTGGATAGACATAAAAAGGTATCTGAAATTTAAGTTTCTGAAGAGGCAGAGGTAATAAACATAAGTAAATGCTCAAATTAAAAATCCTCTCTAATTTAGTTCAAATAAAGACTCACTAACCTCCTACTACAGCTAGGTACTGAGGGAATAAAGATACATGGCCTTCCACCTTAAGAAGCCTGCAATCTAGAGGGGAAGATAAAGCATAAACAAATAATGTCGTGACAATAAAATAGATACCAAAGGCTTTCACACTGGATACTATGGGAGCTAAAAAAAAAAAAAAAAAAAGGGACCATAACCAAACCCGAGGACTCAGGGAAAGCTTCCTGAAAAGGATCATGCCTGAGCTGAGCCCTGCACGTTGCTTTGAGAGAGTTGGCAGGGGTGCATGTGCACGTGTGAGGTAATCGTTTGGTATTGCTATGATAAAAGACAGTGAGATAGGAAAAGGTGAAATACAAAGCAAAGAGTCAGACTGAATACAGGCCTGGGTCAAAAGAGGTCCTCGTACACCAGGCTAAGAGGCTTGGACATCACTTGGGAAGGGATGGGAAGCCATTAAGAAAACTTTCAGGGGAGAGGTGTCTCGGTGGCTCAGGCAATCGAGCATCCGACTCTTGATTTCATTTCAGTAAAGATCTCATGGTTGTGAGATCAGGCTCTGAGCTGGGTGTGGAGCCTGCTTAAGATTCTCGCTCTCCCTTTGCCCCTTCCCCCCTCTCTGTTTCTCAAAAAAAGACAACTTGAAGGAAAAAAAGCAATTTTTAGATCTTCCTTTTCGGTGTGTAACTCAGGCAGCACTGTGAAAGACAAGGCGAAGCTAGAAAACACTGGAAGAAGAGAGACCGGTTAGGTATCTGGTGCAATTAATAAGCCAGAGATGGAAAAGCCTGGATAAGGGCAAGGCGGCAGTTATGGCGAGGAAGAGAGGCAGAGCGAAGTCCCAGATGCATGTTGAAGAGAAAACCGGCTGGCCCTGCTGACTTACCACAGGAGAGGGATGCGAGGCTGAGAGGAGTCAGGGTTTAGGCCTTGAATTACTGGTTAGATGAGAGCACAGTGAGTTGTGAGAGAAGTAGCACAGCTTTTTTGTTGTTGGTCTTTATTTTGTTGGTCTTTGTTTGTTTGTTTTTTTATTTTTGTATTTTATTTTATTCTTTTTTGAATAGTGGGTATTGGAACAGAAATGAATGCATTTAAGTTGAGATATGTTAAGCCTGAATTAATTACTATAGAGGTCAGAACTGTAGATAAAAATTTTAGAGTAATGAACAAATAGAGCTGACAAAGCAGGTACATGGGAACATGTATGAAAAGAAGGGCAGCCGAACAAGGGTGGGGTGGGACACTGGAGAACACTGGTGCTTACAGAGGGGCAGGGGAGGATGGCCCGTGAAAGAACCCGCGAGATCACTCTGACAGGTGCGTGGAGAGAACAGTGCCATGAAAGCCAAGCACGGCTTTCACATGGAGAGATCAACAAAAAAGCTCAACACGCCGGTAACAGCTGCATTTTTTGAGCACTCACTGCATATCAGTCACTGTGACGTTTTAGACATTGTGTCTCAGTTGATCCATGGGCCCTAGAGGATGTGTCTGAAGTTCAGCGAAGCCATGGAACTTACCAAGGTCATAGGGCGAGCTGGCGGGACTGGGATCTGAACCCAGGTCGGCTGGGTTACAAAGCCCATGTTCTTAATTCTGCTGGGGTAACAGAACTTCTTCAGGATGCAACCCAATATTATTGTAATAAGGAATGCTCTAGATTGCTTTTCCAAAAAGCAGATCTTAAAAACTATCCCATAATCTCAGAGGGATATTTAATATCTGATGAGATCATTATACATTTGATCATTTTACACAGTTAAAATAGATTATTTGGCTGATGTATTTCTTCAAGATCTTTTTACTTCATAAATACCACCCCTTGTCAAATTAGAAGAACAATAAAGTGTAACACAAGGCAATACACTCAACCGATTTGAGCTCTGCTGCAGGGAAGTCAGAAGAAAGGTCCTGGATGGACCCAGTCAGTGTCCCCTAGAGGAAAATGAAACACCCTGGACCTGAGTCCACTTAGTTTCCTCGGAGACACTACTACCGGTCTGAAGGAAAACCAAGGAGGATGTACAGAATTTAACACAAACCTACCACAAACATAGAAAAGTTAATTAAAAGAGCTATTCCATACAAGGTTTATTTTAGATAATGAATAAGTATCCATCTAAAGATAGTGTCACATTTTGTTATAAAAGCTGTAATTTCCCTATTTCCCACTAGAGGAAGCAATAGCATTACTCTTACCATTTGGTGGATAAAATACTGCATATTCTTCTAGTCCTAGTTTTCCTGTAAGAAAAAAACAAACAAACCATAGAAGGTTTCAATATGATTAAATAAAATAAATCTTTAAAAATTAACTTATTTTGTGGATGTACCAATAATGCAATTTTAAAAGGCACAGTACGATCTCCTTTAACTTCATTTTAGGAAATGGAATTAATTTGAAAATATACCAGCTAATCTTTTGATATTAGCAAATCCTTTCATCAATTAAAGTCAATAATACAAATTTAAGTGTGAGGCAATTGATACAAAATAATTAAAAGAACAAATGCTTTCAAGTGCCTTAAGCATTTAAGAAGAGAAGCATCTATTTAGAAGCATAGAATTGTTTTGCTAACTATGAATAATTCTAATCTGTTCATTAAAGTAAGTCCTAAGCTTTGCAGCGCCTCATTGGTTTTACATTCTTATGGAATGTGCTGAAAAGTTAAAAAGTAAATGTCTTAAACCATATAGTGGTAATATTTTCTGAATCCTAAAACAGTTCATGTGGTCCAAGAATGAGGCTAAATATTGGAAAGCAGAATTGTTTCAGAAAATGAAAGTATATTCGCTATAATCAAATGTTTAAAGTAGCTTTAAAAAAATATAGCTTTCCCTTAACTTTTAAGGTTCTGAGGTTCCCCCCCCCCCAACCTTCCATTGAATATCTTTAGATAGCCTTTATCTTGACAGTTTTTTCTAATACCTTTCATTGACTTTTCTATTGAAAAGTCTCATGCATTCTTGCACTTGGCTTTAAGGTAAGGTTTTTAGTTAAAAAAATTTTTTTGCTCTTCTTGTTGGGGGTGGTGGCAGAGAGGGGACAAATAAGAAGAATGAGCAGTTTAGGTTAGGGTGGAGACAACAAGCACTGAGCTTGTGAGTAAGGAGAATAGAATAATGAAAGGTAGATGAGAGAGAGAGAGAGAGAGAGAGAGAGAGAGAGAAAGTGCGAGAAAGAGAGACAGAGAGACAGAGAGAGGGAGATGATAGAGAGTACTAGCTGGGTACTAAATATGGGGCTAGGTGCAAACCCTTGTAAATTCTTAAGTGATAAGAGACTAGGAGAATCTTTTGTTCTAATGGGATGACTCTGGTGGACTCCTGGATGGGGACTGGTCACCAGGAAGACCAAGTCATGATTAGAACCCTGGAATTTTCAGCCCCATCTCCCATTTTCCAGAGAGGGGACAGGAGCTGGAAATGGAGTTAGTAATTGATCGTACCTATGTGAGAAACCCTCCATAAAATCCCAAGTAGTCAGGTGTTCAGAGAGCTTGCAGGTGGGTGAACATATCAATATTGGGAGGCTGACACACCCCAACTCCATGGGGACAGAAGCTCCTATGCTCAGGACCCTCCTAGACCTCGCCGTATGTATGTCTTCATCTGGCTGTTCATCTGTATCTTTTATCACATCCTTTCATAAACTGGTAGATGTACGTTTCCTTGAGTTGTGTGAGCTGCCCTAGCAAATTAACTGAACCCAAGAAGCAGGTTGTTGGAACCTCTAATCTATAGCTGGTTGGTCAGAGGCACAGGTGATAAACGGGGTTTTGACTGTCATCAGAAGAGTGTGTGTGTGTGTATGTGTGTGAGGGGTGTGGCAGTCTCATGGGACTGAGCCCTCAGTCTGTGGGATCTGAGGCTATCTCTGGGTACACAGTGCAGAACTGAGCTAAATTGTAGGATGCCCAGGTGGTGTCGGAGACTTGTTTCTTGTTTTAGGGAAAATTCCCATATATTTGGTGTCGGAAGTGGAGTGTTTTATGTGAGTAGTAAATGATACACATGGTAGAGAAACACAGTAGGAAAGAACTGGATTTTTCCCTACACAGGAAGGAAAAATAAGTTTTTCTGATACAGTAAGATATAGCCTAGTTCCTCAAGGACCTATGATTTCGTGGGGGAGGAATGGGAATCCTTCCACATGTAGGGAATATATATAGGCCAGAATAAATATGGTCACGTGGGATAATCAGGGAATCAAAGTGAGCTGGGTTAAGACAAAATTGATAGAGGGCCTTAAAATCTTGGCTGAGTTTAGAAGTGAACCCATTAAATAAGTTCTTCAGTCAGCTTTTTAGCAAATGATGTTAAGGAAACAAACAAGCAGACCAAAGGTTTCTATAAGCTCAGTTTAGAAGCAGTGGAATTAAGAGAGCCCCCCAGTTTGGGGAGGGGGAGCCTGATCCCAGCCAGGTAATATAGGCTCATCCTAGGGCAGGGGTTACAGCAATCAGGCAGGCAGTCAGACTCAGGAGATATGGGAGAAAGAGTTTATTTCTTTATGGGAACAGAGAATGATCACACACAATAGGGTTATAAGCTTTCAGTGATTGGTGTTCACCACTTAATAAAAAGGAGAAACTGAGAAAGGCTTCCTGCTGAAATTAGTTCAGCTGTCAGGTAATAGCAGGATATTGAAATAGCAATATCTGCTAGGCAGCTAGTGATAAAGAAGGGAAGAAAGCACTAAAATAGAAATTAGCGCGCTAATAGCATATAAATTACATCAAATTTTAAGTGCTGTAGAACATTTTGAGAGAAGGAATAGAGAAGTTAAAAAAAAGCAGCAGAAGGAGCAAATTCATGTGATAAACTCGTAGTTAGGGGGGAAAATAAAAGTCAACAGATATGACAAAAACAGCAATAGAGGAGCGAGCAAACACGAAAGATAAAGGAGGTAACTTTAAGTGCTGCTTCTGGGAACCACCCGCCTTTGATTGTGCTGAGTTGTTCACCCGTGATTTGAGTAGGAGTTGAAAGCACGGTTACAACGATCTGAGAGGAATTTCATTAACAATAAAAAAATTAACGACACTAATATATGCTATAAAATGTAACAGTCTTGCTATGATTTTGTAAGTCTTAAAAAATACTCCCTTTAGGTAACTAAAATTTTACCTCTGATGTATGATTTCGGTGGTGAAGCGCTGTTGTACGCAAAATGACCCAACACAGATGTATCCCGGGAGAAACAAAGTAATACCTAGGTACAACAGGGGAAGAAACAAACAATTAAGCACTGTTTTATAACAGGTAAGTAATTCATCGCTATTTCCTTCCTAGGAGGCACTGAGGTAGAATCTTTCCAGTTCAGTATTGTGCCTGGAAATGGGAGGAGTGCCCTCTGTTGGTGCACCTGCACTAAGTGTTACAGGGGATGCCAAATGCGATGGCCAAAGTTCACCCAAAGACGTCTCACTGTGAGCCCCGTAAATCTTGAACAAGCTACTAACTACCAGTTGATTCTCTTATTCTGTTTTCCATCTGGAAAAGAGAAGTAGCTGGGAGACATTTGACACGATGACAAATGTATAGGAGGACCCTAGGTAACTACGTGGCCCACAGGGCAGCCTGGGAAGTGCAGGAAGCTGGAACTAGAGTCTCTGCGGGGATGCAGGAGCAGACAGGTGGGTGTGTCAGGGAAAGCAACTCATGGGTATCTAGAAGGGACAGCAGCAGCGGAATGAGAGAGAGCTAAAGAGCTAATACAGGTCAGAAGCTGGTTGTCCTGACCAGCAGGTGCGGTGGGGCAAGTCGGCCTGGAGATGAAAATAGGAAGGGCAGAAAGTCAGGATCAACGATGTCCTTAGGAGGGACCGGGTTGCTGAGACCAGCTTGGAACTTGGGGGCAGGAGGTCAATCGTAAGGTGATTAGTGACAGGAAATCTGGGTCCTGGGATCGAAAAGATGCTACTGAGAAAAGAATCGAGAATGACAGGAAAAGGTAGAAGCCCAGTTAACAGAACAAGGGCACAAGGTCAGGGTTGGACTAGGAAGCAGGAGCCAATGGAGAAGCTGTGGGTCCAGGACATAAAAAGGGGGCCCAGCTTTAGAAAAAGAATAGATATGGAGATTAAGCATCAGTGAGGACCAATGCCGAAATGTACCAACCATTGCCACTGATTGACTTTTACTGTATTTTAAAAGACTACACAAGCAATACACGGTTATGGTAAAAATTGTAAATACAGATCATCAAAAAAGGAGAAAAAAAACACCTATAAGCCCATCAGTGTTAATATTCTGATGTATATCTTTCAGACTGCTCTTATACATATATACATACATACATACATTTTTCAAACAATAGTTAGGCATACTGTTCTATAATCTATTTTCTCTCAGTATTATAATAAATATTCCAAGTCCACATTTTTTTTAACGTTGCAGAATATGCCACTATATGAATAAACATAGTTTACCTAGCCTGTCTTTTACTGTTGAACATTTAATTACTTCCACTTTTCCCCGACTATAAACAGTGCTGAAGTAAACTTCCCTCTAGCTAAATATTTATGTACACCTTTACTTAAATTCCTAAAACTGAACTAGCTGTCTGGTCAAAGCAATGGGCATTTTAAATCTAAAACTTTTGATACACATTGTCAAACTGCCCTCTAGACAGAGTTTGTCATGTTTTTGTTTTCAATAATACAGCAATAAGACAGTGGACTTTTTCTCTTATTCTCATCAAAACAGGTTATCAGCATCTTATAAGTACAAACAGCATTTTGCTTTAATTACTAATATGGTTGAACATTTTTCCGTTTGCATTTATTTTGTTATTTTCCAGCTCATCATCTTAGTCCATTTTAAAATAGATGTTTTTAAAATTATTGATTTGTTTACATTTCTTGTATATTAACAATTCTGACCTTTGGTCTAATTACATGTTTCAAATGGCTTTGCTCAAACAATTTATTTTGACACAGACATGTTCTTTTTGTTTGTTTGTTTGTTTGTTTGTTTGTTTTTGAGAGAGACAGAGTGTGAGTGGGGGAGGAGCAGAGAGAGAGGGAGAAACAGGATCGGAAGCAAGATCTAGGCTCTGAGCTGTCAGCACAGAGCCTGATGTAGGACTCGAACCCACGAACCATGAGATCATGACCTGAGCCAAAGTCAGACTCTTAACTAACTGAGCCACCCAGGCGCCCCCTGACACAGAGATGTTCTTAATTTTTATGTGCTCAAATCTCCCAAAACTTTAATGCTTAGAAAGTTCCTCCCCACGTTTAAAATATTCTCTGTATATTCACCTAGATTATGAAAGTCTTTAGGGTTTTTCATCAAATATTTCTGGTTGTTCCCCTTTGGGTATATGTCAGCCTGTCTTTTCCAGCCCCTGTGGGGTTAGGTGTGGCCATGTGATTTGCTCTTCAGTCAATGAAATACATACGTGTCATTTGAAAATTTCTGAATTCAAGAATTGGAGCAGTAACCACATTCCTTTTCCCTCTGCATGGCAACCGCCAGTGTTCTAGACAGTGGTTACTCTATCAGCCTAGGTTCTGGAGTGAGGATGACACAGACCTAGGTCCCATCCTATCAGAGGGACATGACCATGGGCAAGAAATCTCAACCTGTGTTGAGATTTTTTACTTGTATGTTATCACAGTATAACCCAGCGCATCCTGACTCAAACAGGAAATTCTGTCTAGCATTTTTTTAGTGGCTTAAAACAATAAAAATTTATTCTATCACAGTTCTACTGGGCCAGAAATCCAAAATCAAGGTAGAGGCAGGGCCATACTCCTTCCAGAGCTTCTGGGGGAGATTCCTCCCCGCCTCTTCCAGCTTCTGGTGTTTCCAAGTGTTCCTTGGCTTGAAACTGTACAGCTCTAATCTCAGCCTCCAAATTCACATATCTTTTCTTCTTCTCTCTCCTCTAGGTCTCTCTCTCTCTCTCTCTCTCTCTCTCTCTCTCTCTCTCTGTCTCCCTCTCGTTGAAGTATAGTTGATATACAATGTTGTATTAGTTTCGGTATAGTGATTCCACAATTCTATACATTGAGCAGTGCAACCCTTGCTAAGTATAGTTACCTCCTAACACTATACAAAGTTATTATTTTCTTAACTATATTCCCTATGTTGTATTTTTCATTCTTATGACTTATCTATTTTATAACTTGAAGCTTATGCCTCTTATTCACCTATTTTGCCTATCCCCTCACCCGTCTCTAGTCTGGCAACCACCAGTTTTTTCTCTGTATTTATAAATCTGTTTTTTGGATTGTTTATTTGTTTTGTTTTCTCAGACTCCACATATAAGTGAAATCACATGGCATTTGTCTTTCTCTGTCTGACTTGTTTCACTTGGTATAATACGTTCTAGATTCATTCATGTTGCTGCAAATGGCAAGAGAGATAAATGGATAAAGAAGTTGTGGTATAGAAATACAATGGATTACTACTCAGCCATAAAAAAGATGAAATCTTGCCACTTGCCTAGCATTTTTGATAAATTCATTTTGTGGTAAATGCATTAACCCATTTGGAACTCTGAAACTGCACCACTCGAGTTGAAATTCTATTCCACTACTTACTAGCTGTGTGACATTGGGCAAGTTACCAGACTTCTTGGTGTTTCAATATCCTCACGTGTAATATGCAGACCCTAAGAATACCTACATCAGAGGCTATTGTGGGATTAATTAATATACATAAAGTGTGTAGAAAAGTGCCTAGCAAATGGTGAATATTATTAAAATGTTAGCTGCAATTACTATTACCACTACTATTATTTTAATTTTATTCTATACTCTGTATTTTCCCCACTGCATATTTAATTTGGGGCTTGTTTTTATTTTATTTTATTTTATTTTTTAAAGTTTATTTATGTTTGAGAGAGACAGAGAGAGAGAGAGAAACAGAGAGAGAGACAGACAGAGCACACGAGTAGGGGAGTGGCAGAGAGACAGGAGAGAGAGAGAATCCCAAGCAGATTCCGCACTGCCAGCGCAGAGCCCAATGTGGGGCCTGAACTCACGAACTGCAAGACCATGATCCGAGCTGAAACCAAGAGTTGGAAGCTTAACCGAATGAGCCACCCAGGCACCCCTGGGATTTGTTTTTATTTATATGGCTCACGACTGTCGTGTTTCTTCAACTTTAAATTTTGTTTATCCACATTTCTGGAAAATTCTCAACCATTATCTTTTTGAATGATGCCTCTGCCCCATTCTCTATTCACTTCTACTTGACTCCTATGACACGTAGGACTGAGCTACACTTACTCAACCTGCCATATCTCTTAATTACTTTTATTATGTGCCCCATTCTGAATGACTTCTACAGATGTTATCTTTTAAAAATCAGTTCACTAATTCTTTCCTTCTGTTTCTACAATGTACCAGGCACTGTTCCAGGTGCTTAGTGCTTGGAAAGATGGAGTTACTATCAACTGAAATAGGGAAAGTTGAGTGGAACAATTTTGGGAGTGAGATCAGGGTTCAGTTTTCAACATACCAAATTCGAGATATCTCCAAAAATCTAAGTGGAGGTATTGAATAGGCAGTTGGAGATTGGGAGAGAAGTTTGGACTGAAGATGTAAATTTAGAAGGTATCAACATATACATGATAATGAAAATCACAAGAGAGTTGAACTTGGTGAAATCAGCAAGTGAGTGAGTATAACTAGAAAAAGACCAAGAACTGAGACCTGAGGCACTTTAACATTAAGATATGAAGGAGAAGGGAAGGAACGAGTCTTAGAGATTGAGGAAAACCAAGAGAGGTAGATTTCCCATGATGCTAATAAAGGGGCGTTAGGACCTCTCATTAGCATGGGTCCCTTTGGGTGCTGGGAATTGCTGGGAGGTATAGCATGCTCTAAATAAGGAGGGCAAATCAGGCTGTGATCAGAAAATGTTTCTATGTATGCATTTCTAATAAACTGCCTAACATGATCTCAGAAAAATGGGCCCTGAACTTCTTACTGTTCTAATAATTTGTCATGATTTTCCCCTTGTTCTAAAGAACTATGTGTGTTCTTACCTAATTATGATTTATTTGTAACATTATATTCTCTATCTTTAAAAGGTTTCCCAAATTATATAAGCTTCAGGTTCCCTAAATGCTAGATTTGCATCTGGTGACCAGTAAAGTAAGAGAAGAACCAGAAAGAGTGTGGTGTCTTAAAAGCCAAGTGAAGACAGGGCACAACTGGGTCACATGCTGTTAAGAGATCAGTTAAGAGGAGGACT